TTCTTTGGTTTCCGAGGCATATCTTGAGGTAAGGGATTTAATTTTATAAACAAACATACTATTAACTTGAAAGCCGTCTTCCCCCACCCCTACCCCTTTAGACGAATGGTTTCTGCTCACAAGGTCACCCAGTACTCTCTTATCAGGGACATCTGTCTTAAGCTGCTGCTGAGGCAAGTTGCCCTTTTGGTAAGAGTTGTTACAGTAAGGTTGACTGTGCCACCTCTCTGCTCTTAGATAACCCCAGTGAGATGTCCTGAGATCTCACCTGGACTGAGCTTTGCACACTGCAGAGCTACAATTAGGTGTACACAAAGTCATAGCAGAAGACAAACAGAATTTAGGGCAGCGTTGTCTGAGGAAAGCCAGAGTATGAAACACCAAGAAGTTAGGTGATTTGCTCAGAGTCTTGAGGTGGTCATCCTGTCGAGGACACTTAACCAGGTACCTCCTCCAGCTTTGCAGAGGAAGCATTCAGGCAGCTTGATTGTCGTTCTGTCTTCGTGGACAAACACAGGCAAAGGGACTGGCAACCTCCTCATCAGAGCTCTTTGTGTGTTAAAGCAGAAACCAGCTGCCTTTTGGAGAACATTTGGAGGGTCAGAGCACAGCTGAAGACTTGCCAGGTTTAGAGAACATGTTACCACTGACCATTTGGTGTAGAATTTCAAGCCTTGCCTGAGACTCCGGACAAAGCTCCCATCTGGGGTGTGAGGGTGCTGCGTGCTCTGTTGTATAATTTTAGCCATCCTCAGTCATTCCTTTCCTGTGTGCCTTGACAACAAAGAAAAGCAGAGCCCAGTAGAAGAATCACAGATATCTCCTCAGACTGCAGCATCCTGCAATTTTAGTCTTGGTTTGGTTTTCCTGTTAGCTGGAAAGGGGATGTTACTTTTTCATGGAAGGAGATGCAGAGTTGAGAAGCAAAGTTAACAGCAGTGAGGGAAAGAATTCTCCCTTCTGAAAGGTCAGGAAGAGATGGGAAGAGAGAGAGCATTTTCCTTTTAAATTCTTAGAGGGCTAGAGAGATGGCTCAGTGATTAAGAGGAAAAACTGACATGTTCAATTCCTAGTATCCACACTGGGCAGCTCCCATCTCCCTGTGACTCCAGCTTCAGGAGGTTTAGTACCTCTGGTTACAGAGGGCACCAGCATTCATGTATATGTACAGATGTATATACAGATACACACATGCATACACAAAATTAAAATAAAGACTAAAATAAAGAATTTTTAAACACTTAAGTAAAGATGTGGCAGAGAGAGAGATGGTCTAATTGGTAAAGCTGGCACTAGCCTGAGGAGCTGAGTTTAGATCCCTGGCATCCAACCACAGAGTTCCCTAGATTGAGCGTGCGCGCGCACGCGCACACACGCGCACACACACACACAGAGACAAGCACACACATAGGCACATGCACACACACACAGAGACAAGCACACATAGGCATGCACACACACACACACACACACACACACACACAGACAAGCACACATAGGCATGCACACACACACACAGAGAGAGAGAGACAAGCACACATAGGCATGCACACACACACAGAGACAAGCACACATAGGCATGCACACACACACACAGACAAGCACACATAGGCATGCACACACACACGCACGCACACACAGAGACTTCAGGTGGTTGTCAGGTACATGAGAAAGGTCCCACTCATCCAAGCCTCTTTTTCAGGAAGGGCACAGGGCTCAACCAGGTCCGGGTATTAGTTCCCAGAGTTCTCTGAACACAGCCTGGTCACCTTAGAGACAAAGCTTTAGTAAAACCAACCATTAAGCTCATATCCAAGGATAAACCTCGGGGCCCAAAGGAGAACAGATTCTGGTAATGTCTAGAATGAAAATTTGGAATCTGGCTTCTCCAAAGTATCTTGTAGAAAATAGCATCTCTGGAAACATAAAGAGAGAAGTTCCAAACCAAGCACACTGTCCTTAAGTATGAAGTTTGGGGTGCTTGAAAACTTGGAAGACACTGTATACTGTATATGTCTTTATGGACCAGGTTGTGTATGTCCCTAAGTTCATGTTGAAGCCTGAACCCCAAGTACCATGGGATGTGGGTTTTAGAGACAGGGCCGTTAAGGAAAAGATACGTAAAATGGGGGCATTGTGGGAGGCCCTAACATAGCCTGCCTAACATCCTTGTAAGACGGGTTAAGCTATGTAGAGATACACCAGGATAGCTGGCCATCCGGAACCGAGAACAGAAGCCTCGGGAGAACCCTTCGTCCTGGACATCAGCCTCCATGAGCAGAGGAAAATGAATTTCTGTTACCCTGGACACCACTATTTGGTATTTTATTGCAGCTGCCCTGGGAAACTAATACAGCCATTGTGTACAAATCACAGCGCCATCGTGAACTTGGACAGACCTTCGGAGTGCTTTTGTTTCTCCAGTACTGGGGATGAACCTGGACTCTCATGTACGCTAGTCAGGCACTGTACTGCTGAGCTGTACCCATGGCTTTTTCTTCATTTTAACTGTGTGCACATGCATGCAGGTGCCCTCAGAGTCCAGAAGAAGAGTCCTTAGACTCTTCTTAGATGGAATTGTCCATGTGGTTGCTGGAAACTGGAAGAACGGTGTGTGCTCCTAATTACTGAGCCTCTCTAGTTTTTATTTTGAACAGTCTAGCTAAGTTGCCCAGGCTGGCCTTGAACTAATTTTGTAGCTGAGGCTAGCTTTGCACTCAGCATCTTCCTGCTTCCTTCTCCTGCCTAGCTCTTCTTATTGTAAAGAAGGCATTTCGGCACCAAGATACTTTCCTATGTGAATGTAATGGCCTCTCAATAAGGCATCAAGAACTTTTTTGTTTCCAAAAGGTAGACAGGGAAGTAACTAAAGCCATTTGGAAAGAGAAGCATGTACCTTGAACACTAAGAAGACAAAACAACAGGAGCTGGACCTGTTAGTCACTGACACCCCCAGTGGTGGTACACACGCAATCCCAGCACTCTGGGGGCTAGGTAGGTGGCCTCCACCGGACAGCCAGAACAGCCAGGTCTATACAGAGAAACCCTGTCTGAAAAACCAAACATGCGCACACACATGCTCTTCTTCTCTCTCTTAGTAAAATATAAATAAATAAACAAAACCCAAGACACAGAATGATGGCACAGGCTCAGTCCAGAGCAGAGGGGAACGTCTGAGAAGTCAGCAGAGCATACCTAGGGCATTATGAGAAAGGTCCTCTCGGTCCCCAGGACAAAGATGGACTCCTAGTCAGTGCCATTTAAGGTGTCTGGTTAACCAGTTAGAAAAAGGTAAAATTACATGCATTCCTCATACCACAAATAAAACTAGTGGCTCAGAAACCTAAACAAATTGGGAAAGTCTCCATGCCCCAGAAGGGTACAGAGATGAATTCTTCCATTCAGCATGAGTATACAAGACTTTATGACTGCAGATTCATAACACACACACACATACACTGAGAGAGAGAGAGAGAGAGAGAGAGAGAGAGAGAGAGAGAGAGAGAGAGAGAGAGAGAGGAACCTAGAGCTTCCCTGTGAGGAGGTCAGAATGAGGGGTGTAAGCGGAGGAGACAGGCTGGGAGGTGGTGCTTCTGACCTTTTTTCTGGCTTTGTACAAAGCTCTGGGGAGGTCGCTGAGGACTGACAATGAATTGAGCAGATAAGCCTAATACTGTAGGTGGGAGTTGTACCCAAACAAGTTTTGAACAAAAAAAAAAAAACAAATTCCAATTATGTAGTTTTAAACCGTGCTTCTTTTCTCTGCTATTTTGGGGCTGCAAGGGCAGAAGGGCTTCCAAGGGTATTTGTCACTAAGGGGATGCTACCTGGTGACCCTGGAGGACATCTTGGGGTCTAATAACATTCCCCAGGGTGAGGTGCTGTAAGTCAGTATTAGGCAGCCGCCTGTCCCTTGCAGGTCACCAGTTTGGTGGTGGCTCTGCCAGGGTTTGGGGAGTTAACCTGCCGATTTCCACCGGTTTTAGGTTCTTAACCTGTAGCTTTCAGAAGAGACAACTCTTTTTGCTTGTGTTTAAGTACCTGCCTCGTAGACCTTCCTACTTGGGGGTTTTCAGTTAGCAAAATGTGACTGCAACTTTTAGGTCCTCCTTGGCCCTGTTTTGTGGATCGCGGAGAAGTGAGTACCTTTCTCTAGATTCTCAGAGGCTATGTAACCAGCCTTCTTCCTTGGCCTTTTGGTATTATGTGCCCACTCTGTTTATTCCTTCAACCTTCTTCCTTCTGCTCCCTTTTATTTTAAAAGGAGCTAATGTGTCAATTAAAATACTTACTGGTAAGTAATATCATTCAATACATTCAATATCATTCAATAACTCAGATGTCAGCAGACTGTCAAGTGAGAGCACTCATGGCGAAATATAAATACGTAAACAGGGTAGCCCAGACTGGACTCCAGCCTGAGATACTGTTGCCTTTACCTCCTTCCTGAGTACTGGGATTGTGAGTGTATGCCACAGTGCACAGTGCTCTGTGTGTGTGTGTGTGTGTGTGTGTGTGTGTGTGTGTGTGTGTGTGTTATGTGTATGGAGGTGTGCAAATGTCACCAACCAACATTGTAGAATCTATTCTGTCCTCCTTTTACATGAGTTCTAGGGATCAGACTCAGGTCATCCAGCTGTGTGACAGGCTCCTTTACCCAGGAAGCCCTCTGGCCAGCTGGTGATATATATTGTTAACTGTGCCTTAGTTTTTTGTGAGTAGGAAAATTTAAAGTGGACTAAAGCAGCATGTTTTCATCTGAAACTGTTTTGAGGCTTCCTGGGTCACCAGGCTTCCTGGGTCACCAGGCTTCCTGGGTCACCAGGCCAGGGGCGCTGCTCTCGGGCTGGAGTCTTGGGATCTGGGCTGGAGGGTCGTTTTCCCACTGGTCAATACTGTGGAGTTGACAGTTGGGGTTCAGGTCATTTGCCCTCACTTACTGTGAGGTCATTACCAGTTTTCACCGTTCTCATTTGTCTCTCTTTTCTTTCTGTTTCCAGTTCTCCCGCCGGTGCTGGTTCCAAGGCACAGCGAGTACAACCCTCAGCACAGCCTTCTGGCTCAGTTCCGAAACCTGGGGCAAAACGAGCCTCACATGCCACTGAACGCCACGTTCCCAGACTCCTTCCAGCAGCCCAACAGCCACCCGTTCCCCCACTCCCCCAACAGCAGCTACCCCAACTCTCCTGGCAGCAGCAGCAGCACCTACCCTCACTCCCCGACCAGCTCAGACCCAGGCAGCCCTTTCCAGATGCCAGGTAGGAGTGGGTGATTGGGGGCTGGGTGTTTGGGGAGGTGGGTGGGTGTGACCTGCAGGGAGGAGGTCTGAACCCCCAGCAAGGCCAGTGAGCCAGTGCTTCAGAACTGCAGTTGTAGAGAGTGGCATCTCAGCCAGACAAGGACGGCCTGCTTGGTTCCTGCTACCTTTTCCCCTTGTTTTGAAAAGTTTTGAAACAGCTGCATCCTTCTGGGAGTGGCACAATTGTTCCAGCCTCTGCTCTCCATAAAGAAAGAGGGAAAGTGCCATGTTACATGCAGTGCTGTTCTGAGAAGCGGCTCCAACGAGCATTTCTGACATCGAAGAGCCCTTGCTGTCAGTGTAGACTTGGAAGAGCTGTTTTCTGAGGGGTCACAACCCCCATTTAATTAGATTCATTTAACCAGTGATGTAATCCCGAGAAGCATGTACTTTTAACAACAAGGAATTGTAGCAGACGCGCTGGAGACCATCTGCTTGTTTAACTTAGCAGAGACAAGACCAGTTATTTTCCTGTTATAGTCATAACGGATCCTGTAATAGTTATCAAAATATGTGATTAATTAGAATGTTCTAGTTTCCAAATTGTAGGTTAGTAAACAAGCATCTCAAATATTAGTGCCAGAGTCCTTCTCAACAGCAAGAAGGAGTGTATAAAAAGATCATCTTGAAATCTGGGTATTTTTGTGAGGGAAGATAACTGGGTAGGCAGGCATGTTTACGAAGCCACTTAACGTGCTTCAGATTATATTTTAATTCAACATTGGTGTTGAACCTTCAGAAATTGAAAAGTGGTCCACACATTATTGCTGCTTTATTTTTCTTTAATGATTCTTATTTTTCAACCTGTTTATTTTGCATTATGTGTTTCTGTTTGGGATAAAGATGGAAGAGAGATTATTTTAATGACCAAACTTGTAACACTTGGTGGTTTCCTATCTACCTATTCCCTGACAAGTCAGCTGAATCTGATGGACGGGTTGGTGGTGACAGGGTCCATTTCAGAGGACTTTTGAGCAGGGGCAACCCCAAGTGATCCCCAGTAAAGAGAATCAAAGACTGTTGCTAGAATTTGCTCTTGTCCTTGGGTGCCAGGATTAAAGCACAGCTCAAAAGAACAAAGAGAAAGTGTGGGCTATGGGAGACAGCAGAGCACTGTCAGGAAAGACCCGGCTCTGAGCCCCCTTGGTGCTAGTGAGATTTTCACGGCCTGTGGGTGTAAGTTCATTGGTTCTGTTGAGAAGCCTCCTGGCTTTGCTTCTGGCTTAAGGCACAGCATACTTAACCTTACAACTGCAGCAAGAAGCTGGGACGCAGGGAAGGCAGACTGAGAAGTATAGAAAAGGTCTCTGGAGCCTTGCTGGCTCTCTGCTCCTTAGCAACTGGGCTAGATTCTGCCAGGGTCAGGGGTGGTGGGAGCTGCCGGGGAGCCCTGAAGGAGCAGAGTTTGTTATTTGGGGTTCCACAGTTGCCCCTAAGTATTTACCCAAGCACTTATGGATCCCTAACGTAAAATTTTGTTCTCAAGGCTCTGCTGTACATGCTGGGTGGGCTGACAAGCCAATGAGGAACTTGGTTTTTGAGTCCTGTATTTCACAGTAAGAAAATACTAGTCTTGCATTAATGTGTGTGGTTTCATTTCAGTAATCTTATTACTTGTTAGAAACTGTTCAGAGGAGACCTACGTAAATTCTAAAACAGAAGACAGCTGAGCTAAACTGATTTGTTTCTTAGTATTCTGCTGTTGGGGATTTTTAGGCTAGTCATTGCTTAAATGGTTATGATGAAGGTAGTCCTAAGAGATTGCTTAAAGTCATGGGAAACTAAGTCTCAATTAGTAGGTCTTAACAAACCCGGACAGCGAATTCCTGCCCATAGGTTTAATGTCAGAGGCCTGGAAAGAAGTTTCTCCTTATCAAGTCTTGTCAGGCAGTTTGGTTACACCAGTGAAACCAAACTTGAGGGCTCTCAGAGTCTGTTGCATGAGAGTGTGCATACATGTTCTTCTCAGTGGATTTTAAGTGACGTGATCCTAGAGAGGATGGAGGATTCCTGGAGCCAACTTAAAGGTTTTTTTTTTCCTTTTCACTGAAATGTCACTGAAAACAAAGTTTGGTGCTATGATCATTTTCTAAAATGGTACCTTATGTCCAATGTCTTTAGCATCTAATTCTTTGCAGAGGGGTAAGGAGTTGGGGGTGAGGCACGGTCTGATATAGCCGAAGTTAGCCTTGACTTCTCCATCATCCTGCCTCTGCTTCCCACCTGCCAGGATTGCATGCATATGCTACCATGTAAGCCCCTTCAGCTCTTAATGCTCTGAGCACAGGGAGGCAGGGACAAGCAGATAGATCCCTGGGTCTCACTGGCCAAGCAGCCTAGCCTGCTTATAGAGTTCCAGGCCACTGAGAGTCCTTGCTTCCCCCATCCCATCCCCCCAAAAGGTGAGAGCTGGTCAGATGGCTCAGTGGGTAAAGACACTTGCTGCCATTGTGAAAGCCTGAATTTCCTCCTCCCCCACAATAATTAAACCCAAAGTTATCCTGTGACCTCCTACATAAATGTACACACCCATACATCTGCATACACATGAACAGGTATACAGATACACAAAGACTCTCAACACAGAAGAGAATCTATACCTGACACATGTATTCTTTTCTTTAAAACGTTGTAGCTGACACCCCCCCACCTGCTTACCTGCCTCCTGAAGACCCCATGGCCCAGGATGGCTCTCAGCCCATGGACACAAACATGATGGCGCCTCCACTGCCTGCGGAAATCAACAGAGGAGGTAAAGTCAGTTGCCCCTTCTCCCTCTTAGAGTTTGTTGTCTGCAGGTCCAGGTGTTGCTTTCGGTCATGTAGACCTTCAAAAAGTAGCTGTTGGAAAAACATAGAAAAAACAGTTGTTGTTGTTGTTTTAAGCCTAAAGGAAAAAAATTCTCTAGAACACAGCTCGTTGCTTAAACTTTTGTCACAATCTCATAAGAGATCTCAGAATTGAATGAATTTTCAATAGTCTATGAAACGGCGGTGAGCATCCTTCTGCCATTTTGTACTAGAAAGTTAAGTGAAACTAAGTCTCAGCATTGGTGATTAGAAAACCAAACTATTGGCAAACTCTGAAGACAACCAAACATGCTGTACATCCGTCAGTGCTGAATATTCAGCCGAGATTTATTGTTTTTGTAAAAAATGAACAAGCTTATCTATTTCATTAGCATGCTAATTTGCTTTTACCTTTTGTAAATGGTTATGTAATATAAACAAAGAACTGTTTAAAAATACATTTATCTAGGGTTTAGTATCAATAAATATGCGGTTTGTATAGCTGTTTCATGTACCTGTATACATATGAGGTTGTTAGAGAGCTCTTGGCATGAAGAGCTAGCAGAGGACACAGTCGAGGCCTGTGTTACATAACATATGTCTTTTATTTAGATGGCCATGTGTTCAGGTCTTCAGTAATTAGTAATGGGATCGATGCTACAAGAGTTGTCTTTGAATGGGCCAGAGGAACAGGCCATCCACAGTAGTGCAAAGCAGACTTCCCACAGGTGACCTCCTTAGAAATCCATACAGCCGAGTTTCCAAAGGTTGCCGCAGCACACACACACACACACACACACACACACACACACACACACCTCTCATGATTTTATAGCTCTTATCTATCACTGAAACAAGTAATGGTGCCATTTTCCTTTCTGTACTCGTGCCTAACTTTGTTACCAGAAAAATGTAAAGGATAAGAATTTATTCCTTTCCCCTCAAAGAATTTACAACTGAATTGAAATTCACCTTTGCTCCTTGGGGAGGGGCTGGTCTTCACCACCAGCTCCATTTCCCAGTAGTGATTTGATGAATGGCCCCACCTGTTTCTCAGGACCACAGTGGGATGTTCAGTGAGCTTGAGGGAGCAGAGAATGCAGATGCTAGAATCATTGAATCTTGCCCCATGCCAGGAGGTGCCATACCTGCCCTGGCAAGATCTCCCATCCTCTCAGTAACTTCTGGGGAGGCCTCCAGCAAGCACTTGGTCGGGGGGTGAAGCAAATTGAAAGTAAAAGCAGTGTGGCCACTGAATGTCCCTTATTTTGTTCTTAACCCCATTTTTAGTGAAGTGAAAGGGCCTTGGACTGAGTCAGAGTTGCGGGTGCTTTTTCAGGACTTAACTATTATGCTGTCCGTATGTGTACTTAAATATTATATGTGCCCTGTTCATATGTGTTCAGACTTACAGACTATAACCAAGAACAAGCCCTAGTGCCGACTCTGGATTTGGGATGAGAATGTAGGCTCTTGGGTTATATTGAATACACCAATCTGATGGCAGATCTCTGGTGGGAGGGGGTGTGGGAAGTCTCACTTTGTAGTGACCCAGAATGTTGACTCCAAAAATAAATACTCTCAAAAAACCCTTAGCTATACAGTTAAGTAAATTGGAACATATATAAATCGGTGATTTTGTTTTGAAGTTTTCTTTATAGGTGCTCTGTGTTTTATGGGTCTTGGTCATTGTTAGATGTTGGGAGTCAACAAGAGAAGTGTGTGAGAGAGTAGCCTCTATCTGACCCATTTTTAGAATTTTTATTTGGAGAGCAAGATACCCTGTGTGGACCCTGTATCTGTACAGATGAGATCAGCTCTAATACTCCAAATAGAGACCATACTTTTAAGATTTTTTTTCCTTTTAAACAGCTTTTAAAATGTTCCCTGTTAGAGCCAATTTAAAATCACCTAGTATGTTCAAAGGAAAACAGTGTTGGCTTTTTTCCTGTTGTCACCTGTGGTGGTTTTCCAAGAGCAAGGGTCAGCAAACTACAGCTCACAGATCAGCCCACTGTCTGTTTTTATAAATAAAGCTTTATTAGAACACAGCTGTGCCCATTTGTTACATATTATCAATGGCTGTTTTCGTGTGATACAAAGGCAGAGTGGAATAGTTGTGATAAAGACCATATGTCCCACAAAATCTTTCTGGCCTTTTATAGGAAAAAAAATGTGTCCAAGTCTAAACTAGCTGAATAGCATTTCGAACAACGCTAAAGCTGATAGAAGGCTTGTGTGACTGTGGTTGCAGCTGCCTTTGAGGTTTGGCACTTGTGAATCACTAAAGCTTTACTCCTTGAAGAACATCAGAGTGACGGAGGGGCTGTTTAGAAAACAAGGGAAATAGTTTATTTTCAGCTAAGCCACTTAAGTATAAAATGTAACTAATGAAGAACATGGAAGCCCTTTTTTACCTTGCCTGCTGGATTTTCTTTGCATTCTCATTGTACATGAGGCACCATGAGGTTCAGATCAGTAATTACGTTGGCAGTAGTGTGTGTATGCCTGGGGTCTCAAAGGCGGGTTAAAGGAGGTTTGCTGCAGAAGGATTCATCTCCCAACCTTTTGGTTGAAAGCATTTAGAAGCATTTTCTGTTTGGAGATTTGTCAGGCTTAAGGGATCTGACTTAACAAGCTGCATCCTGTCAGTGAAGCTGGGTAGTTTCCATTGTTGGCCCATTCTGGGAAGCGAGAGACAAAACACACCTGCTCGGCATGACTTAAAGCAAATATAAGGAAGTTAGCATGGAGTCTGGATGAGAGAGATATGATTCATTGAGGGAGAATGGCCAGCTGGCAAGATTTCTTCCTGAGCTCGAATCGCAGCAAACCTGCAGCCGTGGCCATCACTGGCTCTTGTGAAGCCAGGCAGTGTCTCCATGATAGTAGAAGTTGGTTTTGGTGCTTTGAGAAAACAATGGTTTACCAAGGCTTTGCCAAAAGGAGCTCCTTCCCATGCCAGCCCCATTGGCACATCTCCAGGCTCCTCTTGTTCCTGAGCCACTTGGTTTTTCATTGGTCACTTCTTGTATTTTTCATAGGTATCGTGCCAGCAAGAGTGATTTCTATTATTTCTGTATGTTAATGAGCCAGTAATAGGGCGTTAGTATTCAGCAAATGCTGTTGCTGGACTTGCTTAGCTGGTATTTTGGTTTTTCTGCTAGTCATTGGAGAAGATTGTTCCCCAATTAAAGGAAAATGCCACCTTTAATAAGAAGTTCTTCAGCTCTCAACAATGATATGTGGGATCATCGTAGTCGCCCATGATGCCCAGCCAGTTTTACAATTCGGTTTCGGCTTGGGGGCGCTCCAGGCACACACCGTGAGCAACACACAACCTTTTCTTCTCTTCTTACAGATGTTCAAGCAGTTGCTTACGAGGAACCAAAACACTGGTGCTCTATTGTGTACTACGAGCTCAACAACCGCGTGGGTGAGGCGTTCCACGCCTCCTCCACCAGTGTGCTGGTGGATGGTTTCACTGATCCTTCCAACAATAAGAACCGCTTCTGCCTTGGGCTGCTCTCCAATGTTAACCGGAATTCCACTATTGAAAACACCAGGCGACATATTGGGAAAGGTGAGCCTTCCCTTCACTCTGCTCGCACATGCTCCTCTAGAGGTGACTCAGTCATTTCTGTGGCAGATGCCAGTGAATGTTCAGATACTGCTATTTGAAGATGTTTTCAAATTCTTATTATCAGGAGATTGTTCTAACTGACGATCTTAGTGGTCCCCAACTCTGACAACTCTGATAGGAATTAGTGGATACTGTGGTTTGCTACTGCGGCCAGTACTCTAACATTTTTGTTATAAAAACATCTTTAAATAACTTTTACATTTATTACATGTGTGTGCACGCACATGTTCATGTGTACATGTATGCACAAGTGTCTTCATCACAGGACAGTCTGGGAGTTGGTTCTCTCCTTCCATCCTGTGCACATCAGAAATCAGAGTCAAGTCATCAGCTTGGTGGCAAGAAGTCTTCTACCCATTGAGCCATGTCACCATCCTGCCTGTCCCAGCCCGTGCTGCTCCACGCTGCCCCACGTTTGGGGGCCAAGTGCTCTGGTCCGAGGGTCAGTCAACAGGGCCTAGCAAGATAGAGAGTAGGGATGGAGGGGCAAGAGACGCAAAGAATAGAGACAAGACAGAGAGTCTGTTCAAGTCCCCTTTATTGAAAGGAAATCCTGGGTATTTATATGCTTAACCACGTGCCTTGCAGCTGTGGACAAGCAGGGGAACACAGCTGAAGACACTTTACCACGTGCACCTTGCAGCTGGGGGCATTAAACAACAAAACAAGATATGTGAGAAAAACAAGATGTTTATCAGAGTGTGCTCAGCTGTTACGGGCTGTTGAAAAATAAGTCTCTTGTCAGGGTATATGGCTCAAGATGGCTGCAAAGATGATAGCTGCTTTCTGCTAGAAGTCGCCTCCCAACACCCACCTATCTTTCTTAATAAACTTAATTATTTATTAGTGGTAGATTAAAACAGTTCTGTAACATTTACATGCATTTATTATATGATTAAGCAAGTGGCTAAATGTGTGGGTAGGTGCTCGGCTCAGCTTTCCCTGCGAAGTAAGGAACATGCAATCGTGAAGGGGTGTGGCGTATGTGTGTAAACTCATAACTTAATGACATGGCATGTGTTTATATGCTGTTGTGCATGTCTGTATGTGAGCCTGTCTATATACCCTCCAAACATGCATACAGTTTTTCTACCCTGTGTACTAAAAGGGCAAAGAAGTAAAGTATTGATGATCACATACCCAGGGTCCGGATCATTGCTGCTGCTGTCTCTCCCCACTGAGGGAAACGGTAGTTGCCTCTAAAGCTGTGAGGAGGCAAGCCTGGAGGATGTCCTGTGAGAGGAAGTGAAGAAAGGATTCAGAAAGTGATGGTTCCTCTTGGCATCCAAGTCCCACCTCACAGCTTTGTACAGTTTAGAACCAACGTAGACTTGTCCTTTGGTCTCCATGGTGGTTTGTACTGAGACCTTGAGAGTTAGAGGCCCGTGGATGCTCAGTTCCCTTACATAGAACAGTACAGTAAATTGATTTATCACACTTCACCTTTCAGGTGTCCTTATAGAGTCTCACCTACTGCAGAGCTCACGCCATGTAAACAGTGACTGTTGAGTGGATTGAGAGAAGCATAGCCTGTACCTGTTAGTGCCGGTGCTCTCTGAAAAAATCATTTTTGATCTGTGCGTAGTTGAAACTGGGTTCCAGATCCACAGATAATGAAGAGCAACTATAATTAACTATAGTAGTGGATCTAGCACTACTGCTGGGTGGGGTGGTGAGCGTAACTCCTGTAATACCCCCACTTAGGAGGCGTGAAGCAGAAAAGCAAGAATCCCAAGCCAGGTTAGGCTACACAGTGAGATTCTGTCCGATAAATAAATTCTAATTGATACAGCCACAGGAATCATTAATAGAGAAATGAATTCATTGGGAAGTCCAATCTCTAAATGGACAGTGAGTGCTAGAATACAAAAGCCATCATTTTGCAGCCATTGTAGTAAGGACCAAGCAAGACTCGTTGGTGTACGGCTGGTGAGGTGACTCAGTGGGTGGGTAAGGAGTTTACTGCCCAAGCCTAGGGACAGTAGCTTAGTCCCCAGAACTGCACAGTGGGAGAAAGCCAGCTCCTGCACTTTGCCCTCTAACACCACCACCACCACCACGCTAGCCCATGCTTCACACAGACACACACATCATCCATACACATTGAACAAGGAACTAAACGTAATAAAACAGAGAGCCGTCAATATTTGCCAAATATGAACAGAAGTTTTATGGCAGAGCATTTGCATGTTTTACAGTATTTCTCTAAAAGCTATTTTAGTTGCAAGGCAGAGTAAAAATAAATTATACAGTGGATAAATCTGCATAGCCAGTAAACTGTTTGATTGATCCCCCATCGTGGCAACACCAGTGAGAGGCAGACAAGGAGCATGAGCTGGGGAATCAGAGGCAAGCAGATCTCCGTGAGTTCCAGACCAGCCAGGAAAGAGTGAGACCTTATCTTTAACTAACTAAATAAATAAACGAATCAACATCTATAGAAATAGGTTGAATAAAAAAGGGGATATTTTAATAAGGATAAGAGACATTTAAGAAAATGTTGTGAAATTATTCTTAAGAGGAAACCCAGTAGGTGTTGAGATAAGGCTCGGTAGACATCTTACTGATCAAAGGAGGGAACTGGAAATGACAGCCTAGGGTGAACATAGGCTCACCGCACACATGGGCATTTTCCTGTGCCTGGAAACACAGGATTTCCTGTCAGTACATTCAGTATGGAGGAGTGTGTGTCTCACTAAATTTTAGGGGCTGGGTGTGGTGGCACACGCCTTTAATCCCAGCACTCAGGAGGCAGAGGCAGGCGGGTCTCTGTGAGTTTGAGGACAGCCTGGTCTGTAAAGCCAGTCCAGAATAGCCAGGGTTTCAGAGAGGAAACTCTGTCTTGACCCCTCACCCCAAAAAATAGTTACGAGGGAAATAAGGGTTCTGGGGCTGCACTTCCTTAAGTCACCCCAGATGCTGGAGTAGTGGACTTAGAGTTCCAGATGGTGGACAAAGCCAGGGTCATCGTCATACATAAGCTGACCCACAAGCAAGCAGCAGAAATACCATGCAGATATCACTTCAGACAGCATGACTGACAGTCTTCTTGGGACATGTCCTTAGAGTGAAGCCAGAAGCTCTTGGTTATATATACTTTCAAGAAAATTCTTACTAATTTGTTTTCTTTAAAGATTTATTTATTTATCTTATTTACATAAATAAATACTGTACACTGTAGCTGTCTTCAGACACACCAGAAGAGGACATCAGATCCCATTACAGATGGTTGTGAGCCACTATGTGGTTGCTGGGAATTGAACTCAGGACCTGTGGAAGAGCAGTGGGTGCTCTTAACCACTAAGCCATCTCTCTAGCCTGCTAATTTTGTACCTCCCACTAGTAATAGACATGTGGTGCTTCCCTTTACCCTTGACATTCATGGGTGAACTTCATGTCCGTCCCTGTCATTCTGTTTACCTAGACGCTTACTTTCCCTGATCCAGTGTGTTACTACTTTTCTGTTACTATAGTGAAACCATAACCAAGGCACCCAGAGAACTGAGTTTATTTGGGCTTGTGGTTCCAGAGGGACCAGTTCAGCATGGCTGGGAAGGCGGCAGCCAGAGAGCAGAAGCCGGTGGCTCACATCTTGAACTGCAAACATAAAACAGAGAGAGAGAGAGAGAGAGAGAGAGAGAGAGAGAGAGAGAGAGAGAGAGAGAGAGAGAGAGAGAGAGAGAGGAAGAAGAAGAAGGAGGAGGAGGGGGGGGAAGGAGGAAGAGGAGGAGGGAGAAAGAACTAGAAATGCTCCAAACTTTTAAGCTCCCAAAGTCCACCGCTACTGACACTTCCTTCCAGAGCTATACTAAGAGAGAGAGAAAAAAAATGCTTATATAGTCAGCCTTTGGTCCTTAAAGGGATGGCTGAGTGCTGTGGAAACATTTCAAGCCAGGCAGTAATTCTTTCTGTATAATTTTGTGACTTAAAATGTGATGCCGAAATGACTTGGAAGGGTTTATAAGAATAGTTAAAATCATGATGGATGGACAAGTAAATAAAAAATTCTGATGTTAGGGGCAGTAAAAATTATAAGTAAATTAGTCAGCATGTAGAGAAAACAGCAACGTAGATTACACGCATACTGTGCTGGACATGTGCCGGACACGTACCAGACATGTTCAGGAGCCCATCTTAGGTGTTGGCATCAGGTCAGTAGCATTCCCTAATGGTCCTGTACTACACACCACACGTGGGAATGAGTTAATATGTATCTGTAACAAGGCAAGCAATTTAAAAAGCTCTATGAAAACACATTTGATCTGAAAGGTCATTTTTTACCTCAACAAAAATCATAAAAATTCAACTAAACTTGTGTAGGTTAAAGCATACCTATCTGTCTATCATCTATCGCTCTGTCTACACGCACACATGTACACCACATGTATAAAATGAATAAAATTGAAAGACAAAGGAGTAATAGGAAAATACAAGATAAATTATTTATATCTGACCCTGAATACACAACTCATAAATAATAATAAAAACCCTGCAACCGCAGCAGGATAAATACATGAGCAGTAAAGACTGAGTTCACGGGAGACACTCGAATGGCCACTAAGCCGTGAGCACACACCCAGCCCCATGTGCAAATGAAGACGATTGGATTGTTTTCCAGCCTCGAACACTTTGCTCAGGATCAGTACTGATGTGTGTCAGGTGAAGAAGTGCCCACACGGTGCTGCTGGTGGTGTGAACAACACAAGCATTCTGGAAAGTCGTTTGGCCGTGTGATTCCAGGGCCTTCAATCCAGCCATTTAACTTCCAGGAATCTCTTACAGATATTTGTAAAAATCGGTCCAGTGACATTTGTCACGATTGCAGTAATAGAAAATTGTTGTCAACAGTGGTGCACTGAGGTAGATTGGTTGAATACTTATTATCAGGACAGTCAGGCAGAGGTTTAAAAGTTTGCTCAGAAGCTTTACTGATTACAAAAGCCAACACAGTGTATGCACACTAACAAGCATTTCTTTTTCTGTCACCAAAGCATTGTTTACAGTTTCATAATTTTCTAAGATGAAAAGTCATCTTTATTATCAGGAAAAAGGTTTCTTTTCTTTTAAATAGTTTTCTAGCCCTGTGTATCTGTAGAGACACCACATGGTGTTTCTTCAGACAGTCCCAGTAGCGCAGCGCCATAGGCATGTATAGGGTTTGATGCCACCCCACTTGCCTCTTTGCTGGGTGCTCGTTCCCCCTCAGGAGGCTTTGAGCGCTTTCCTCCTCCCTGTTTTTAATTATTTCCCATGTGAAGGGGCATGTGACATTCAGAGGACAGCTGCGCAGGACGGGCTCTCCCACCAGGGGAGGATCCAGGCCGCTGCCCGCTCCTCCCAGCTTGAATGTGGGATGTTGCCTAGACTCCTGGCATTCTGAGGGAGGAGAAGTTTCCAGGTGTTATGTGTAGTGGTTATTTCGGTGAGCTTTTCTTTCACACAGCCCCACTCCCACCATTTTTTTTCTATTTCTGGAGCTTTTATTTTTAACCAGACCTCCCGTCTTACAACCCCCGGTAGGACTGATTCACCTCAGCTTTCGGTCCTCCGTGTTTATTGATCATCCCTTCCGTCTCTCTGAAGTTTTCTGAACAATTTAGCCCTGGCATAAGTGCAGGAGACTTTAAACTCACAGGATGCTCCAGTAAACTCTAGGTTTTACTGCACTCTATTTTTAGAGTGCAGATATACTTTCAACCCTAGCCAAGTGGGACATTAAATACTTACTGAAATGAAAGTGTTATACTTTATTATTTTTGAGAGACTTTGTTATTTCCTGAACAGGCTGGCTGATACAAGGGTAACATAGTTACCTAAGTGTTTTGTCAGAGTAGTCCAGCCTGACTCTGCCTGGGCACCTTTCAGCCAGATAACAACTGACTGTCAGTCTGTCTCCCCGTGCCTCCCTGCAGGAGTCCACCTTTATTACGTGGGAGGAGAGGTGTATGCAGAATGCCTCAGTGACAGCAGCATCTTCGTGCAGAGTCGGAACTGCAACTACCACCATGGCTTCCATCCCACTACTGTCTGCAAGATCCCCAGTGGGTGCAGCCTGAAAATCTTCAACAACCAAGAGTTTGCTCAGCTACTGGCACAGTCTGTGAACCATGGGTTTGAGACCGTGTATGAACTCACCAAGATGTGTACCATTCGGATGAGCTTTGTGAAGGTGAGTAGCGCCCGCCTAGATCATCCAGGCTGGACCCCCACACACATACACACATACACACGTACTGCCTCCCAACATACATATGCTCCCCCACTACACACCCATGCTCCCCCCACCACACACACACACTTTCTGACAATATGTAAGTCTGTGCCTTCTTGGTGTATATTCGTATCAGAGGTATTTTTTTTAAACTTCCAGCAAGAGAGTCAGTGTCCAAGAAGTTATCTTTGGAACATAGCAATGTAATATTTTCCTCCCAACGTGTGGATCCCAGGGATAGAATTAGATCCCCAGGCTTGGTGGCAGGCACCTTTACCCACTAGAGCCATCTTGCTGGCCCTGGTCACACTTCTGTTATTTTTGAGAGAGGCTCTAACGTAGCCCAGGTAGCTGGGCTTATACTGAGGAGGGGTGTGAAATCCTGTTCTGTCAGCTCCGAGTCTGGAGTGGCTAGCATTCTAGGCTGTGTGCTACCGTTGCCCCATTGTAGGGTCTCTGGTACACTAGGCCAGTGCTCCAGCCACTGCTGTGTCCCTAGCCCCATAGCTGCTGTAATAGCATAGAAAATGGTGTATCTTTAAAATGTAGCTTAAATACATGGGCATCCTATGAGATCACCTTTGTTCCTCTAGTGCTTTGTTTTAGCACTGTATGTGCAGGATGCGGGTGCCTATAGACTGTAGTTCTGTAGTCAGTTATGATCTTTTAGGGCCTGTGATCTTTTAGGTGCCTTATAGCAGTTTGCTTCCTGGGACCCACGTGGTAGAAAGAGAAAACCAACTCCCTCAGTTGTTTTCTGACCTCCACATGATACACACAGGGCCAGGAAGGGAATGGATAAATGCCACAAAATTAGTGAGAAACTTATTTACACTGGAAATTATTTTCAGTTAGTTAGGTTTTTTTTTTTTACATATTTCTAGTAAATTGTGTATTTTATGTATAATTGAAAAGTTTGCAAGGCCTTGGCCCTCAGTTCCAAGAGTACTGTGTAGTATCAGAGAAAGGAGAAGTTTGGAGTCATTGCTCATAGCAGATATCTCTGTCCACTTCTGCCACTGAGAATGAAAGTTTTTTAAGATGCCGATGAAATGTTAAAAAAATGCACATCTGATGAGAGCACACTCTAGTGACCGGCTCGTCTCTGAAGTCTCAAAGATAAGTCTTTGTCCCGCTTTACCTTGAGGAAGAGCACTAATTACAAACTTGGATGAGGCAGTTGTCTTTCATGTGCTGTCTTCAAAAGCTCTGTAACTTCTTGCCAGGCCTGTTTAGTAGAATGTTCATCACTGGGTGATTCCAGAGCCGCCCTCGGCTCATCCTCGCCCAGATCAAAGGCTCTCTTCCCCCTCCTCAGCTGAATGTGGCACCTCTTTAATATTAAAAAATATTACCCCTTAAAGAAGCTGACCTGTATGTTGTGTGCAGATGCGACCGCAGAGCCTGCCTCGTTCATTATTCACAAGCACCATTTCATTTTTGACTTAGCATTTTGGCTCGGGCGATTTACGAAATGAGAGCAGCTACTTGCCAAAGTGGTTTTTGTTTGGAAGAAAGAGCTCTGGAGAGTGGGGGTGTTGGAACTGGGGTTGAGACACAGGGGTTGTTTTCAGATCTCCTCCTCATGGTCTGTAAAATGGGACTAGCCGGAACTGGTGTTGGCAGTCGTCTGAAGTCCCTTGGAGGGCTGTGATTACTGAATTTTTGAAGAAGTTTTGGCTCCAATACGCTGTCTCCTTAGCATGTGTCTCTTACTGACTGTACAACTAAAAACATTTACACTAAGGTACTTAAAGGTTTTTTTCTTAACTTGTATCAGTGTGTGTATGTGTGAGTACAACATGCGGGTGCTGCTGGAGGCCAGAGGAGGGTGTCAGATCTCTCGTAGCAGGAGTTATAGGCTGTTGTGAGCAGTCAGAGGTACCCGGAACCAAACTCAGGTCCTCTCTTAACTGCTAAGACATCTCTTCACCCCAAAGCTGCTGATTCAAAATTTATTGACTTCATTCTTTCTGCAAATACTTTACCATTATTCCAAAAAGAGAGAGACAATACAGAGAGGGGGAAAGCACATTCTAAAGCCTCTAGCTTCAGGATGCACATGGCTTCCTGTGACTTTATTAGGAACGGAACATAAAAGAATTTAATAGTAGCATGGCATCTGTGCAAGATAGGACGGATGTGGCTGGGGGTTTAGGATGGACAAATCTTACCCACTAAAAAGCTGGCAATGGGCTAGAGAGATGACTCTTACAGAGGATCAGAATCCTGTTCTCATCATCCACATCCGGCAGCTCATAATTGCTTGTAACACCATCTCCAAAAGTCAAACACCTTCTTTTGTTTTCCATGGGTACCTGCATACACGTGCACATAATATGCACATAATAAAAAATAAGTCTTATTTAAAGCTCGGTGACCTGTAAATAGCAGGCTCCACATAACAAGAAGTTGTGCGTTAGTAACAGAAGCTCACACACTTCTTACAGCACTGCTCCTGCTATAAGGGATGCTTGCTGGACCAATCCTCCTCCTCAGCATCTGATACCGAGGACCTTGCTAACATTAACAGGCAGTCTCCAATTGTTTTTGAGATGATCATTTTTGGTGTTAATATAAAACTATACCTGAAAAACCCAAATCAGTCTGGCCCAGAAAGTATGTGTGGAGCTTTTGCCTCATGACCGCATGGAAGGTCAGATCTCAGCCCTTGTCTTCAAAGATCTCAGTGTCTAAAGTGACAGACCTGTGTGGTAACTGTAGCTGTTGAATGAAACCCAGGGACAAGCATGCACGTACACAGGTGGAGTTCGTGTTCCCCAGCTTTGTCTTAAAAGTTCTCATTCACATACATTTCATAAAATTACTAGAGAAAGGTGTGTACCAGAGACCTCAGTAGCCATAATTTTTTGCAAACAACAATCAGTCAGAAGTTTATGGTCTTCTTATTCACACCAACATCATTTTTTTAATTAAGCTTTTAATATAGGGTCTCCCTGAGTAACCCAGGTTAGCTCACACTCAGGGTAGCCCAGACTGACTGTGAAGTCATTCACAGTCCTCAGCCTCAGCCTCTCACGAGAACTAGGATTACAGGGACATACCACCTGCCTCTCATGGTGACATCTCTGGAACATTATTGTCTGAATTGGTCACTCTGATACCATGTGGCAAACCACCTTCTTGACCAGATGAGTCACAGAGCCTGTCACTTCAAGACAATGGCTAGGTGTTGGGAAGGACTTTGGGGTGTATAACTGTTCTCCCTTCATTTCACTTGAGACTGAAAGATCAAGAGATCTGTATAGCTGACAGGTAGAAGAATTTTATCTGCCAGAATGGGGAAGAAACAGAGTATCAGTCTGTCTGATATCACCTTTACTGTATTTAGGGTAAGAGGAGAATGTAACCATAGCCCTAACAGGGCTCAGTGGTGGGATGTGCTGCTTAGCACATGAGAGGCCTTGGGTCTTATTCCCAGTGCCCCAAAAATGAACAGAGGGGAACCAGGCACGGTGGCCTATACTTGTAATTCCAGCATATGGGAGGTTGAGGCCGGAGGATTGCCACAAGTTTGCAGCCAGCTAGGACTGGGTAGTGAGTTTCAGGCCACCTGGGTTATAGATTAAAACCCTGTCTGGGAAAAAAAAATACAGGCTGAGGAGATGGTTCAGTCAGCAGAGTGCTTGCCATGCAGTCGAAAGGACCTGCACCCCCAACACCTACTTCAAGAAGAAAAAACTGCCAGAGGTTTGGTGAGATTCTTGGGCAGAGGCACTTAACCACACAGGACTAGCAACCCGAGTTCAGTCCCTATGAGTTGCATTGCCGTTGCGTGACACTGTTCCTAGGGCGATGTGAGAAAATGTCTACTCACCCTAGATAGGACGTCAGTGACAGATCAAAATATGGATACCACTGAAGTCCAACTTGGAGAACCAATGAGTTTTATTGGGGTTACCTTCAGGAACAGAAGTGAGTTGAAGATAGCCTGTGTCGCCACCCCCACCCACCCCCCAGCATGGGTGACCGGCTCCCAAGTGCTGGGACTAGAGCTCACTGCAGAAGATGCAGGCAGCTCAGCAGGCTGGAGAGGGCCTTCCCAGAAGCTCAGCTGCTCTGAGCCCCTGCTAGGCAGTTTGGCTTGCCTATCTTCCCTGCAGCCCAGCTGCTCTGAGCAATCTGTACTGTTCATGTCAGTCAGCATGGGGAGAAAAAGGCCTAGTGAATCTGGTCCATTTCATAGTCCTTCCTAAAGCTCTTATGTTGTTTGCTTCCTGAGTTCTAAGGAGTTTGTCTGTAGGGTGGAATGTTTCACCTCCCTTAGAACGTTGGCAGTCAAGGAGTTTCCTTAGATGGAAGCCTTTATCTTCAAAGACAGACAAGTAAAGGCCAGAAGAGAAAAGCTGAGCTCACAGGGTTGTGTGCTGACCTCCACATGCACACTGGTGTGCATGCACACACATATGTGCAGCAATTAAAAAAAAAGCTGGGCACACCAGCAATCCCATATCCCATCATAAGAGACAAGATGGGACTCTGTCAGCTTGCTGACCGCCAGTCTAGCCTAATTGGCAAAACCCCAAGTTCAGCAAGAGGCTTTGTCCCAGAAAATACAGTGGGGTATGATTGAGGAAGACAGCCAGTGTTGACCTTTGGCTTTTCCAGGCATGGACACACATGTGCAAAAAAAAGGGGGGGGCAAGGGATTACTCAGTTGAGAGTGTGTAGTGCTCTGTCAGAGGTCCTGGATTCAGTTCCCAGCACCCAGCTGAGATGGCTCCCAGCAGCCTGTAACTCCAGCTCCAGGGTGTCAAAGACCTAGATGCTTCAGATACAATATTGGTAGATAAATCCACACTCAAATGGATACATACATACATTTTAATTAATCTTAAAAAAAAAAAAAAAAAGCCGGGCTTGATAATGCAGCCTTTAATCCCAGTGCTCAGAAATCAGAGGCAGCTTGATCTCTTAGCTTGAGACTACCATGCTGTCTGGTATACATAGGGAGTTCCAGGCCAGAGTTACATAGTAAGAATTTGTCTTTAAAAAAATAAGTAAATGAATAAAGTTTTAACATAACATAATGGAAAATAGATATTCAAAATATTTTTATTCAGACAACTGTTGAATGTATGTTAAAGTGTTAAGAATCAAAGACTAGCAATTTTATTTATTTATTTATTTATTTATTTGCATGCATTTGTGGTGTGTTTTTCTTGTAGGACATAGCCATGAGTCCAAACAGGCTTCTATGAGCTGATCATGTGACCTTTTTACTGAATCACTGAGTTGAAGGAGCTAAATGATTCCCAGTGTGCTTTCTTTTTCCTAGGGTTGGGGAGCCGAATACCACCGGCAGGATGTTACTAGCACCCCCTGCTGGATTGAGATACATCTGCATGGCCCTCTCCAGTGGCTGGATAAAGTTCTTACCCAGATGGGTTCGCCCCACAATCCTATTTCATCGGTGTCTTAAAGGACCTGCGGCTTTTGTCTCTTGCAAACTATTGAGCCTTGCATGTACTTGAAGGATGGATAAGTCAGACAGGATGGAGAGCTGACGAAGGAGCCATGCTAATACTTGACCTCTGTGACCAACTGTTGGATTGAGAAATTGACAAGCCTTGGTAACGAGCTGTTGATAGCAAGAAGCTGTTCAGTTTACATTGTGACATTCTGTTGTAAAATCAGCTAAAATGCTGACTTGTAGCAGGACTTCTGTGTATAGTTAAAGAGATGGCCAAGCCAGGGACAAATCACCTATTAGGAAAAAAAAACAAACTGATCCTAAACAATTCTTTTGTGTGGGATGTTGGCAGACAGTTGCCCTGATAGTCTTTCTGAAGTGGGATTTTCATCAGGCTCAGAGCCCATGTTGAATCATCTTCTCATGAGTTTTCTTAATATTTTAAAACTATTTGTTGAGAAATGAATGGGTTTTTTTTTGTTTTTAAAGTAAAGGTTAATCATTATGACATGCATAGTAATCTTTCTGAAACTGTATGCTGACCGTACTGCTGTCAGATGATGTCAGGCATATGCTCTTTGCTAAATATGTATATACAGAGTATTTGGAGGTTATAAATAGTCTAAGCGGCTAGTGGGGCTACACAGTATTTGAGGGGCGGGGTCAGGGAGGAAAGCGACAGCTGCAAATGTCGACGGCGCTGTAAAGTTCAGCTTGTTGCCTTAAACGAGCAAGCTGATGTCTGAATTTGCTGTGTTTTGGTTTTTTAGAGTTTTATCTGACTTTTCTTCCTTTCTTTTCTTCTATCTCATCCGCTCCATAATGCAGTTAAGCAGCTGGTTAATTCCTATAACTGTGAGAGCAAATGAATAATTCCTTCTGTTCGCAAATCAACTGGCTTTGTGTTTCACTACTCAGTACATGAGAAGCTTGACTTTATGGAGTTTACAATACAGACATAGGCTTTGATTTCCAAATAAATTGTTTGCCAAACCTAGTAACTCTGTTCATTATTCACACGTTTAAAGAAGATCTCTATTGGAATCCATTTCAAAGTTTTTTTGTTTTGTTTTGTTTTGTTTTGTTTGTACTATTTGGTTTTCTTTTCTTCTGTTAATTTTTTCTATTCTCCTTTGTTCTTATACAGCGAGTACTTTTATTCCAACACTAGCAGGGTTTTTCTCTACTGGAAATTTTTAAATAAAACCTGTCATTATTGCTTACTTTGATTAAAAATGTGTCATTTTTTCTTTGCATGTTAAGATTTTGGATCAGTCGGATACGGTGCTCTTTTGAGTACTCTCTGCCAGATACAAAAGCTAACTTATGCAATGAGGACACGGACCTGAGCTGCTGACAATCTGAGCAATTTGGAATCGGAAAAAAAAAGGATACATAAAGCTGGAAAACTTACAGAAAAAAACTAAATGTGTAAACTTAAAAACAACTTCTTGCGGGCGGATGAGGTGTGTACCATGGTGCGCCTGTGCAGGACAGGGGTGGCTTGTGCAGCTAGTCGTTCCTCCCATGCTGTGGGTTCCAGAGATTAAACTGAGGTCACCAGGATTGACAGGCAAACACCATTACCCGCTGAGCCATCTTACCAGCCTACAGATGTGGAAACTTTTTGTAAGGAACTGCAGCAGCCAGTTACTGATGGGTACCTTAGTTAACCAGAAGAGTAGCTTTGGGAACTAAGGGTAGCCATGGGAGGGTGTAGCCAAGGTTGCTGGACACTGAGGCTACACAGAGAATGTGGTGACCTTGGTACAGTTTTATTGGGATAGGAATGGTCTTCCCTCTCCAACAAGAAAAAAATAATTTTTTTCAAGACTGTTTCTCTCTCAACCCTGGCTGTATTGGAACTCACTCTGTAGACCAGGCTCGTCTCAGAAATTTGCCTGCCTCTGCCTCCCAAGTTTATGTGCCAACCACTGCCCAGCTCCACCAAGAAAACTTAAATTTTTATTTGAAAATAAACAGCCCGAGATCATTATATTTTCTAGCTTGGAAATGCCACTGTTTCCCCTTATATTTTTTCCTGGACTTGATTCAAAAATCCCAAAATTTAAGGATTTACTGCATTCCACCATTTGAAGTCGACTTTAAATGAAAGAATGTCTTATTCCCATGACACTACAAAATGCACCCCCTGAAACAATGGCGAGGCCTGAATTTCTATCTCTGATTGTTTCCCCCAGGATCATCAATAGCAAGCAGAGGAAGCCTAGGCCAGACCTATACTGTGACAGTTTCCTGTCCATCTTTGCTGGACCTCTCTGTGCACATTCATTGAGTGGCGATAGCGTCATCACAGAGTTGGTTTTGGGGATCATTCAGCTCAAGTTAATACCTTAGAAATACAAGTGTCAAAATGCAGGAACCACTTTTCTTGAATCCCCTGTAGTCTGTATCTTTCATCAGCCTATAAGGCAGCCCGGCTGTAATTCCAGCCTGAGAAGGCAGAGATGGGGATGCCCCAGAACAAATTGACTGTAGAGCCACATCAGTGAGCTCTAGGTTTGATTGAAAGACCCTGCCTCAAAGAATAGGGTGGAAGAGTGATGGAGGATAATTCCTGACGTCAACCTCGGGCTCCACATGCATGTGCATACACACACACACACCACACACTCAGGGCTCCACATGCATGTGTGTACACACACATACACACTCAAACATGCATCACCAGACCATGAAAATGGCAAGTGGGAATAAGTAAAGTTACCATTAAATTATACCGTGATGTATAACTGGGAAGTTGTCTAAAAATAAAGAGCTCAGATAAAATTACCGTTAAGTTATATCCTACTATGATGTATAACTGGGAAATTGTCTAAAAATAGAGCTCAGGGCAAGAGTTCTCAAAAGCAGGTGGATAGCTGCCCTTGCCTTCCTTGACTTGCCTTCCTTGAGCTCCCTTGCTGCCCTTGCCTTCCTTGAGCCCCCTTGGTGGCTGCTGGACAGTTAGGGAGTTGGATATGAGGTGAGGTGAGTATTACAGTGCTTTGACTTGGAGGTGTGCTGCATAGAACAGATCATCGGATCTGTTCCTGACATGTGCAGGTGTGGTGCATAAAAATGCCCATTGTGTTTAAGGGCAATTTCATGGAATCCTAGTAAAACCTTAATGAAAAACATTCTCATTGTCCATAGAAGGTTAATGAATAAGTCTTTTGGAAATATTTTGTTCAAGGAATGAGAAAAATCAAAGCAACTGTTTGTCTAGATAATGAGAAAACCAATGAAGTTCAGTAAGATGACAAAGGTGGTGTGGATTGTTTGCTGAGAATCAGTAGCTGGGATGATTAGTCGTGGAGGGCTCTGCGCCACCACCCCTCCGTCATTTGACACAATTTGAACTAGAAAATTTCTTAAGTCCCTTGCGCATGGTCCCTCATCTGTAAAATGGAGACAGGAAAGGTAACCTCATTGGGTCATCCTGAGAATGAACATGAACGAGGCCATTAGAACGCCTCAGTAAATGATTAAATCTCATTAAGTCTGGCTGGGAAAGGCTTGGTTTCAGTTGTTATTTGGGGAAAGACTCTTGCCTTTAAAAGAATAAACAGAAATCCTGTCAACAAGGCACTTACAGTCTAACGGGAGGATGCTAGTTCATGGATGCCTGGGTCTTTGTGCTCTGGTCTCCATGCCAGGGGCTTTCCGTACCATCTCCCTCATCCTTCACAAGAAAACACTACTCCGTCCCTAGCCCCTGACTTGCTCTCTTTTTCTGAAATAAATGATTAAGATGATAGCCAGTGTATAAAGAGAATCAGTTTAATTTTGACTCTGAGGAGGTTGTAGTCCATGACTTTGACCAGGAAGGTCTATTGCTTTCGAACCTCTGTAAGAGACAGGTGAGCAGTGTGCATTACAGGAGCATAGCGTAGAAGTGTACTGCTCACCTTCTGACTGGTCAGCAAGGGGGATGTGGGATTGATGAGTGTCTCCCACTTAACCCCTTTGAAAGCATGCCTGAAGACCCCTAAGTCCCACCTCTTTAAAGAGACTTCACCATCTCCCAATGGCACATTTCTACAAGCCAAGCCTTTAACACAATAGACCACTGAGTGGCTGTCCTGAAATGCTGTCCCCTGATCACAGCAGTCATTGCCACCTTAAGCAGAACAGCCGCTGGTACCTGTAAGAATCCCTCAAAGTGTGGTCTGTTAAGTTCTTATAGGGAGCAAAGAGTCCTCAGATGGCTTCTGGGATTCTAGCCACTCCCTGCCCCTTCCTCCCTGCTGTAAGTTTGCCCAAGCTTCATGTGGTCCTGGTTGCTGCTTGAACAGGTATAGAGTGTGGAAGGCTAAGCAAGGGAGAGAGACCCCATCGAGGCAGCCATCGGGAGGCCATCTACAATGGGATGAGGCTGCGGTGATGTGGCTATTTTTCTGGTTACCTGTGCTCATCCAAGTACTCTTTTATCATGTCCCTGTGAATAAGCACAATGAACTTGCTGGCTCACCAGACTAAATATGGGTAAACTCTTGCTTCTGTCTGGCGTTGGTTCTCTATCTGAGATAAGACTTGTGTACCCATGCCTCCCCAGGAAAGGTTCCCCAGTGATCTTTAAGATCAGAACAATGCATCATTTTTAAAATTATAAATAAATCACCCCAGAAGCTAGCTATCTTGTCCAAAGTTTCCTAGTATAAACATAAACTTACTACAAAATAAAGAGAGGGAGAGGGCAAGAGAGAGAAGAAATCACATTGACTTTGTTAAAGGGTGATAGATAGAAGTTCTTGCAGAGGAAGTAGCATTTAGTTTGAACCTTGAAAGCTGGGACACATTTGGATAATTGTTCAGATCAGAGCTACCTGTGAGCGATGCCTACTATTTGGTTTGACCTCTGAGAAGACACTCCAGTCTGCATAGATGATGCCTCTGAGCTGTCTGTGTGCTCTCTAGAGGTTATCCCTGCAAGAGACTACTGAGGGAACGTGTGCACACAAGGCAGACAACAGAAAGTGCAAGTGGGAGGTCCAGATACCTTTGGGAGCATCGGAAAGTGCAGGGCAGTTAGACAGGAGCCTCACCATTAATAATCTTGGGTACAGTATACTAAGGAATAGGATTTTTTCCTCCTATGATTATAGCCCCTTAATTTATGAGATCACTTGAGGATCGAACACACACATAAGATGCAACTCAAGTGAAGGATGCAAAAATGAACAGAAAAGAAACAGCAGGCTTCCACAAGCAAGGTTTGCTTTACAGAAATGTCAACACAGGACTGAGAAGAGTGGGGCCTCAGAATAGGCTTATACTTAGGAATTACGAAGCCGTTGTCAATTGATGAGTTTTGGGATATTTAGCTTCTGTTCCTGTTGCTTTGATAAGACACACTGACAAAATAACTTATGGGAGAAAGCAGTCAGGAATCCTTCATAGTGAGGAAGGCAAGGCAGGAGCTTGTAGCAGCTGGTCACACTGCATCCACAATCAAGAACAGAGTGCTGTATGCAACGTGTGTGCATTTATCCAATCCAGGAATCCTGCCAGGGAATGAAGCCACCCACAGTGGGCATGTCTTCCCACCTCAATGGACACAATCAAATGTGACGGTTTGAATAGGAATGGCCCCCATAAACTCATATGTTTGAATGCTTGGGTCATAAGGAATGGCAGTATTAGGAGGCGTGGCCTTGCTACAGTAGATATGGATGGCTTTGTGGGAGGAAATGTGTCACTGAAAGCTTTGAAGTCTCAGATGTTCAAGGAATGTTCAGTGTGGCAATCACTTCCTGCTGCCTGCCCTCCAGATGTAGAACTCTCAGCTCCTCCAGCACCATGTCTGCCTGCATGCTGCCATGCTCCTGTCATGACATTAATGGACTGAACCTCTGACACTGTAAGCCAGCCCCAATTAAATGTTTTCCTTTATAACAATGCCTTGGTCATGGTGCCTCGTCACAACAATGAAACCCTAAGACATCAACGTAATCCCCTATGTTCATATGCCTATCTCCCAGGTGATTCTAGATTTTGTGATGTTGACAATTAACTTACCACTGGGGACAGGGTGACTGTGTGGGGACAGGGCAGCTGTGGTATATAAAGCTAACATGTAACAGTTTGAAAGTCTGAGCTGAAAGAAGTAGAAGTATTTTTGAACTCTTAAAAAAAATGTTCATTGGTGAGGAGGAGGCAAAGATGGAGAACAGAATATGGCGGCTGGAAGATGAGGACATAGGAAGGTTGTGTTAGGACA